AGAAAAACTGATAAATACTCAAGTCAAGAAGTATTAGGACTCTTAATATTTTATATTCTCTCCAATCTGGCTTCAGGAAACATCACAGCACAACGACTGCTTCGCTAAAGGTCTTTAATGATGTTGAAGCTTTGGATGTTAAGGATCGCTGTGCTGCACTTTTCTTAGAGCTGTCCAGAGACTTCGATACTGTAGATCATGACATCTTGTGCTACAAGCTCTCAGATACTGCCTTCTCAGATCACACTGTTGGCTGGTTCTCAAACCATCTCTCAGGTCCGAGGCAATGTGTTCGGCACTTCATCTAGCTACCTAACTGTCACTAAATGGTGTGCCACAAGGCTCAGTTTTGGGTCCCACTCTTTTTACAATTTATATAAATAATGTAGGCCAAAACACTCCTGACACATCCTTGCATTTCTATGCCGACGACACTGTTGTTTATTGCAGAGCTAACACAGTTGCCAAGGTTTTCCAGCTTCTACAGTCTTCATTTGACATCATTCAATCAGACTTATTCCACCTCAAACTGGTGCTAAATGCTGACAAAACCAAAAGGATGTTGTTTTCCAACAGAAAGTCGATGCCAGCAACTCTTCCTCCCATCTCATCCATGCATGGTGTTCCTGTAGAGTTTGTAGATTCTTATAAATACTTGGGATTGATCCACATCTGTCTTTTAAACCACGTCAAAAACTTGATAAAGAAATTGAAATTAAAACTGGGTTTCTTTTTTAGAAATAGATCTTACTTTACTCTGAAAGCCAGAAAACACCTTGTAACCTCTACCTTCCTGCCAGCCATTGACTATGGTGACATTATTTACATGAATGCTCCTGCCAGCTGCTTGCAGATGTTGGATGCTGTCTACCATGGCACACTAAGATTCATAACTGGTTGTAACTACCATACCCACCAGTGCACTCTGTACTCCTTGGTCAGGTGGTCATCATTATCTACACGTAGGCTCTCACACTGGTTCATCTTCATCTATAAATCCCTCCTTAGTCTGCTACCTTCTTATAGCTCCTCCCACTTGTCACACAGTCAGTCAGTGCAGTTACAGCGTGCGCTCTCAGGCTAGGGCTGAGCCATATCATATCGTTCACGATAATACCGGTAAAAAAAAGCTTGCCCGGGAAAATAAATTGTATCATGATGTGCCAATTTCATGACGTAAAAACGCCAGTGTTTCCCCTACAAGCGGGTCCCCCTTGTTTTATATCTGGCACGTTGATTTATTGTTTTATAACACTAATTTAATTTTAATTGCATTTTTACTGTAGTTTATCATTATTGTTGTCTGCACTTTATATGTTCTGTCTAAAGCAGGTCTCTCTTGTAAAGGAGTCCTCGTGACTCAATGAGACTAACCTGTATAAATAAAGGTTGAATGAACTGAATGAAAAAAGACACAGAGGTCATATACGTGTAATCCAGTAGATTACACTGTACATCCAACACGGCTCCAAATTAACTCTACGTTCACCGTTCTTTGTACAGAGCACCGTATCCTTGTAGTCTGATTTTGTACATATAAAATCACAGCAGGTTATTTGTTGCATTTTTTTACCCACTAAAGTCTGGGTGCGAAAAGACCAAACTGCAAAAAACTACAAAGTGGCAAAAGCATGAATTAACCCAGCGCTGTTGAATCCGGAGTCATGCAAACATTTGAATATTGAATCTGATACAAAAGGACAATTTGTGATTCTGTTGAGATGGACAATTTTAAAACCTCAGCAGTCAGAAAATTAGTCCGCGTGCAGAGAAAACTCCCTTTTTGTTCAAATATGGGGCTCATCAATGCCTATATGATGGGTCGCCAGAAAAAACTGCAACCGTTTCACAAATAAAAAAGGTTTAAAATATTGTCATCATATAGAAAACTTCACAAACATGACCCTAAACATTTTCAGGGACCAAACGACCCCCAGACAAACAATCATAAATGCAATATTTGGAGAAATGGCAACAAAGTGTGATGTCAGCGGTAGATTTTTAAAGTTAGGCAAAGAAATTAAGATAACTGAGGCTTGCCATCAGAAAAATATAGACACATTCATCAAAAGCTACTCATGGATGCAGTTGGGACTTTTCAAAATAAAAGTAGCCCAAGGTAAAAGGAGACCAACAACCCAGTGGCTGTCTGTCAGGAACAAGGATTAATTTAAACATCTGAGAAGATAAGGTTATTATAATACACAACAACCTCAAAACACGATGCTCAACTGCAGACCACGTGATTCATATGAAATAAAACGGACTAAAGAGGAGCATGCCATGTGTTTGCTGCTATGATTTGTTTAGGCTCGTTTCATTTGTCCTGTGGGTGCACGTTTTCTAAATCTGGCAACATTTCCACAAACTTACTGCAACTGTGAATGCACATGTTGTGATTTAAACTCAACAATTTATAAAGTTTTATGAGTGGGGGCTGCTCGCGGGGAGCAGGCAGCTGCCTGATAACTGCCAGGTCAGCCCCTCTTTGTTAACATGGTGTCATGTCTGCTGTCTGACCTGAGATGAAGGAGAAGTTTTTGTGTGGAGCAGCTCGCCGTAGTTGAACTCCGAGGACCCTCGGTCGTTCGGCTCTGTCAGGGTGAGGCTCAGCCGGACGGTCGGCTTCTCCTCCCCGGTTTTGTTGGCGTCGCCCTCCTTCCCGAACAGACCTCCTCCTCCTCCTCCGCCACCTCCTAACCCGCCGACCGCCGCGGCACCTCCACCATCTTTCCCAAAAGTGATGTCGACGGCCTCGTCCTCGCGGCGGCGCTTCTTGCCGGGCTCCGGGGTCTGCGGCGAGCTGCCGAAGGAGGAGATGGTGACGAAGGGCACTTTCCTCGGCTCTGCCATTTCAGCAGCACTCCTCTGAGCGGCAGCTGCTCGGAAATAAATCGACAGCTAGCTCGTTGCTCTGCTAGCTAGCTCGCTCAGAATGAGTCCTGCAGGCAACACAACGACTTCTCCTCGCGACCCGTTTTAATCCATATAGCGGAAATCCTGGCCCCGTCACCTACGAGGGTCTGGAAGAAAAGGGAAATCCGGCTTTTCCATAAACATTTGTGTCCAGCTACCGTATGGAGAATTTTGAAGTAGCCATCTTGATCATTATTATCATTATTCAGAGGCTGGGCGTACGAAAAGAAAGCAGAAACCAGAGAGGAAGAGGAACCGCGTTTCACCAATGGCAGCGCCAAACCACGCCCACCTGACAGATAAGCGCGAATGTGGACAAGATGACAGTTCTGCGCAGGCGCGATAACTAGTGTTGTGCCGTAAAAAGTACACCTGCTGCCAAAAACCCTCATTTTAAAGAAAGCGTCACTCAAATATAGAAACACTACACTGGTTGAAACCACGCGAATGAGTTTTTCTCTCTTTTAATGGGAACTGTAAATAAATTCGAATAAAAGTTTAAAAAGACAAACGGATGTGAATTCGTTCATTGTTCATTCATTATAGTGTTCGGGGTGCTTTTTAGGGCATAGTAGACCAAGTACCTGCCAGATTTGACCCCCCACCCAAACACTTTTAAAATGATTGATTATTGCTCTCAATATTTTTAAGTACTTCAAAAATATGTGAAACTAATATTAACGGATAAAATAAAATTACACGGCAGAAAAGTTTTGTTTGTTTTTAATGGCAGAATTTGTTTCGGCAACTTGCGTTTTCCATAAAACACCGTGTATTCGCCGTATGTGAAATAACTTTGACCTTGAAAGTACTGAAAAACACGATTCAAAATATCACGTTTGACGTTTACTAGTCAAAACAAGCGCTTTGCAGCGTGGTGTGTGTAATGGACATGTTTTTGATTTAAATGGTGCTTGTTTTTAGCACAACACCTGCCCCTTGAGAGGGTCCTGGCATGGAGGACCTTCATATTTGAAGGCTTTTCGACCCGAAATGGTTGAAACATCCGATTATACAATTGTTTGTATGTGAACGTTTCGGTTCCATTTGAATTATAAAAATGCCGAATGTAAATTTACTTCAAGAGTAGTAATTAAAAAAAAAACTAAAATATTTACTGTAATAGAAAATTCGATTGACATGCATTACTGTGAACTTGCACGTTTAGTGTATAGTAAAAGTTTTTTAGGTTAAATGTTATCCATAAACAGTCTCTGGAAATATGAGTTTATATTCTGTGCATTCCTGATGCATGCTCAATAATCCAGGTAGAAAAATCTACCTAATCTAAAAATATTCTGTGCATTAAAAAAAAAAAAATCCTGTTGTGTTGCTAAGATGGTTCAAACCAAACATTTTTATTTTGGAAGGCTGCAGAATCTCCCCCATAACAGATCTCTCTTGAAAATAAATCAATTTGTGACCAATAGTCACTTTTTTTAGGTTAATACTGGTTTCATTGAAATTTTGTCAACGGGTCAGAAAAATGCTAGACGTATTAAAATCTCTGCAGCTTCCATCTGCTGGTTTCATGTACCGTTTGATCTTATACTGGGGGTGTAGATGAATTTGATCAAGATCTTTTGTTTAAACCAAGGCACTGATGAGCATAATCTTACAATATTCAGGCCTGAATACGAAATTTTATGTTTCAAAGCCATTACAACCGTTTTCAAAACATTAATTTAAACCAATTAACATGTATTTTAAGACTGCCCAGTGGTTAGGCAAACTACCAGTGATCAGTTTGAAACTTTTTCAGGATCACGATGAGTTTTTGATATGAACCGATTAAAGCTTTCATTACTGCAACACTTGATTACGTAATCAGAATCCAAAAGGGTTTGTTTTCAGAACTACTCAACCATTTTAACACCAAAAAGCAGGACAATTAATAAAACAAGTCAAAGTGTAAAACACATTTATTGTTGCCATGGTCAAAGGTTTAAGCCCAGTCAGAAGTAGCACCACCCCAGTCAGAGGCCTGAGCAGTGGGAGCAGTGGACCAGTCATCTGTGGCAGGCTGAGTACTCCAGTCTTCAGCTGCAAAGAAGAAATGTCACACTGAGCCAAGGGACCTACAGAAACTACTTTCATCACGTTTAGGAGAGGCTGCACTAACTCACCAGAAAAGACTTCACCAGTCTTGACCGGTGGTGCAGCGACGGCGGCAGCAGCTGTAGCAGCAGTAGCTGTAACAGAGTTTAAAGTATTATTAGGCATCAGTAAAATAAATGTAACAATCAGTTTGACTGATCTTACCTGCAGGGAACTGCTGGATGGGAACAGAGGGCACAGCAACGCCCTCAGCCCAGTCAGCCACCTCAGGCTGGGCAAACTCAGCAGGAGGCGCGCTCCATTCGCCCTGGAATTCCTCCTTTACTACGGCCTTCTCGGCTGCAGCTTGCTCCTCCTTCTCAATCTGTAACACAAACATTATACAGCAGGGGGTCACCCAGACCATCATCTACAGTAACATCACCAGAAGAGCGCTTCTTACCTCTTCAGGGTCCCTGTAGAAGTACAAGTCAGGCATGACCTCCCATGGGTGCTCCCTGGAGATGGTTCCCCTCATCCTGAGAACCTCTCTTGCCAACATCCACCACATGAGACCCACAGAGTGGTGACCCTGAAACAATTGCCCATTAGAAAAACGTCAAGGCTAACAGCAAGCAAGGTGGATGAGTTCTCACATCCTCGTTCAGTCAGTCTCACCTTGTTGTTGCAAGGAATGGCAATGTCCACGTATCTCAGTGGGGAGTCGGTGTTGCACAGGGCGATGGTGGGGATGTTGACGTACGAAGCCTCTGTCAGAGGCTGATGGTCAGCGCGGGGATCAGTCACAATCAGGAGGCGGGGCTCTCTGAAAGCAGCCTGGATCTGATTGGTGAAGGTACCGGGGGTGAAGCGGCCATGGAAGGTGGTAGAACCGGTGGCAGAGGCAAACTTCAGCACAGCCCTCTGCAGTGGACAAAGAGAACAAGTTAACCCTCAAGACATGCAAATTTAATCTATTAGACACTTTAATTTAAAAAATAAACTGTGGCTCAGGTCACTATCAAACCCCAGTCATAGGACCGACGTCCTCATGGTGTTAGCGAAACCCCGGCCAACTTACTCTCGCACACTTCCGACACCAAAACACTATCGAAGTGCCTGGTTTTAACAGTGTGCATTAATCATGACACTTTACCGTGACGAAACTATAAATTGTGTTTCGAGTTTAAAATCTCGATTATACCAGTGTACCAGCAAAAAAAGCATCCGTAATGTGAAAACAGGAAAAAAATAAAAAGGTTAATCTTTAAAACCGTTATATGAATTTTAATCAAGTTTTTACCCTTGTACCTGTCCGGTGTTTCTGGAGGAGATGACGCACACGTCAGCTGGGTTCTCGATTGCAACAATAGCCCTGGCTGCCAGGAGCAGCTTCTCCCAGGTCTTCTTCAGGTTTATGATGTAAACACCTGGTGAACAGAAGAAAACGGATGTTAATTTTAAATCATGTGGTACTGATGCTGCGCCGAATCCTCCTACCACTCACCGTCACTTTTTCTCTTGTAGACGTACTGGTCCATCTGGAAGTCCAGGTTGGTGCCTCCCAGGTGGGTTCCTGCAGCCAGGAACTTCAGCACATCCTCCTCCTTCATCTGAAGGACATCCAGACCTCCGGACATCGTGACCACTTTCCCTGCGTTACGATTTAAGTGGGAGAGCTGGTACAGAATCAAATGGATAGAAAGCTTTAGCATCACAAACTTACACATTGTTAAAAAGCAAATAATATCTGCAAGTACGAAGACAAAAAGGTAAGGTTCTTAACTACACGACTTTAATTTATTATCATTTATAAAATGTAGTTCATGGCACACTTAAATGGTCATAAACATCTTAAGAAAATATTAACATCTACAATGGATAACATTTGGAAAAAACAAAAGCATGACAATATTTAATAGCCAGAATAGAAAGACTTGTTTTATTGTTGCTAAAACTCACTTTAAACAGCAGAAACAAACATAAAAAATAATATCTTCAGTTTAATACTAGGCTCTTGAATTTTTGTGTAATTTAAGGCCTTCTGGGAAATTGAGTCCGCCACCTCATGCGCTGCTAGCTATGAAGCTTCCGGTCATAAGCGGCCTCTTAAAGCGAAAAAAATAATGAAATAAATGCAATGCCTCTTAGGATCAGTACTAATATTAGCAGACATCTCAGAGAAGTATTGCGATAAACACGTGATGTTTAACTGCACGTGAAAAGAATTAGGTGTTGAAAAAAAAAAAGATGAACGCGTGTTCAAGGCTAACTTGTTAGCCGTTAACGTTAGCATTTTGACAATCATGAAATAAAGGCGGTTTTGGAGGCGACAAGTGACACTTTTTCTGCTCCGCAGCTGGACACTGAACCAGTCCAGCTTTTCTTTGTGTCGTCGGTCTTTTTTAACTTTCATTACGGCCGAAATAAAACCGAATAAAACTCACCACGAAACAACGCCGTTTGGAAGTCAGCGCACACGGTGAAAAAGAGAGCGCTCAGAGGACGTGACGTCATTTTTATACCAGATTTCCAGGCGTGTGATTGGTCGGTTTTTTGTGAGTGGTGTAGTTCTACATTGTGACCGCTAGGTGGCGGTTTTATGCTGGTTGCTGCAACAGAGGAAGAGGTTACCAGTGGACACGGCCCGTGGGTCGGATGAATATCCCATATTAAGACAATGGAGATGGAAAGACCATATTAAGACAATGCTGAGACGCTGACTTCTCGGTGAAAAACTTGACCTGTGTTGAAACCATATTTACTGGAGATAAAGTGTTCCAGGCTAAAGGATCATAATATGTACACAAGGACGCACGGGGTTGAGAAATTATTTATCGAAACATTGCCAGGTGAGAAAAAGTTGCCCAGAAAGTTGTAATCCTGAAAAGACCTGGTTATAATACACTATTAAAAATAAACCAGATAAGTTAGCTGGTGATCCACATGTGCTGACTTGGCTTGAATAAGAACCAGGGGACTAGGAGGAGGAACAATTAATACAAAATTTAATTATTTGAGACATAATTTTAAAAAAGGGTATTTGGTGGCAACAATATGAAAATTGGAGTTAAAAATCACAGAAATTTGATTGATTTTCACTGATTTACGTCATGAATCTCTGAATGTGTCACAGATATGATTTCCATAGATCCAAAACATCCGGTTATGCATCTTCTAGATGATGTTAAAGAAACACAAACACAATATCTGTGTGTAATTGTGTTTCCTGTGTTAACCTGAGCCCTACAACCTGGTGTTCTTTTCTGCCATTTGATGTCATGTCACCACACCCCCAGTACAGCTTATCTCCAGCAGTGCCGTGATAACTTATTGGCCCTCGTGTTCTCATAAGGACTTCGCAACATGCCAAGCCGAGTGCCTCGGGCTGTTTTACACCACACACTGACCCCGTACAAAAGACTCTCACGCAACTTTATGGTTTTATGTCTTTATCAGTGAATAAAAGGAAACTGAACAAGAATGCTGTCTGTGCAGAAGTTTATAAAATTGAAATACCTCAAATTATTGACCACAGATGTCGAAAACAAGACATTCGTAGTTGGTTTAAGGTTAACTTGGACAACACAAAGCTTTAAAAACAAGACGTGTGTGCAGAAGTTTGGATGCGTTATGGATTTTCTTGAATCCACAGTCACAGGGTCAAAATTACGTGCACATTCCCTTGAATCCTTTCAAAAGCGGTGCTGAAGCTTGACAGCACCTATTGACCAATACTCATGGACTGAACTGTGCAACAGCCCACATGGACAAGTCAAATACCTTCTGGAGAAAAGTTTCGTGGTCAGACGAGACAAAGTTTCAGCTACTAATGACAAGAAGTTTGTTAGGAGTCGTCGAGGTGAGGATTTCAAGCCTAAGAAGGCTGTAACGACTGTTAAGCATGGTGGTGGTAGCATCATGCTGTGGGGTAGTGCACTTTTGAAAGTGGAGAGAATAATGAAGGACAACAACTTTGTCCAAACTCTTCTACTTCACCTCAGGTTTACAGCTAGATGATTGAAACTATGTTTACGTTGATCATTCATCACAGTACAATGATCCAAACACAAGTTCCTGATAAATCAAGCTAAAGTTAAGATAACCTAAAAATGAAGGGAGCCTGCTTAAGTCGGGAATGTGCCAATAAATCAACCAATATCTATGAACTCATCAATTCTGCCAAGAGTCAAATATCAGTTTGGAGCTTGTTGATGCAACAAGCGGTACGCAGACGTCCCCCATCCTCAAGGATTTGAGTAGTTAATGTTTGAAGATTTCGAGATAAGAGTGAAGTAAACCTAAATGTTTTTGGTGTAAGATATTCAAGTGGGTAGGAGTTACACCGTGAAGAATGGAGGTAGATTTTTGTTTTTCTTGTCAGAGACTGACGGAGGGAGCCATTTTAATCCATCACCAGGTGCAGTGGTGGAGCCAGGGGGTGGCCGATGGTGGCCAAGGGCATGTTAATTATTTGACGAAACTATACTTTTATGCAATTTAAAAACAAGAAGGCATAGTTTCCTCAAATGATAGATGTGTTTGATTTATCAAATTCAAAATTCTTTGTCATTCGCATCACAAGTGGTACATGAGGTGGAACGACATTATGTACTCAAGGTCCCAGTTGCACCAAAAAATAAAAATATAGACAGTATAAAAGGATCCAAGATACACACTAAACACTAATAATGTAAAATAATATGGTGCATTAAACAGCAGCCCGAACATGAGTCTAGCGAGCAGATGGTATGAATGAATACAAAGCAGGAGATAATCAGCAGCACAGATAAGTCACATGTATACATAAATATATATTTATTGTTTTCACATGGAAACATAATTTTTTAAAGGAACCTTTAGATGCCGCTCCACACCAATATGCAAGTTATCAGTTTACAAAGTTTACGTATATAGCGTTGGCCATCTTGAATTTTGACGTGGCAACCCAATTTTTGATAGAAAACTTTTTTGTTGCTTAGATGCAGCCACATGGGAAGTTTGTACTTGACTTCTTTTCCAAGTCCTCATGCTCACAACTTTCATGGACAAATAAAAAGCCTGTGGTCGAAGGAGCAACTTGATAAGGGACATTTCAGCAAATACTAGAGGGGGGAGTGAACATATGTGACCATACATGTAGTTTTGAGCCAGTGTGAATTCAAGAATATCCAGAATAAATTCAAGCTTGTGCATTCAGTTTTTATAAAATCATTCTGCAACATCTGGATATAAAATGTCTGAGCCATTAAAGCTCAACTGAGAAAACACAAATAAACAAGACAAAAATGTTTATTGTTCAATTATCTTTAAAAATTTTTATTTATCTAACAGTCACAATAAATTAGTCATTTAATTTAAGCAAACATATATATATATTCTGTTTATTTTTACACAACTTCATTTTATAGTATTGAATAAATAAGACACAGTTAAATCATAGAGACTGTTTCTTGTCCTGAGAGTTAGTCCGGGTTTGAAACTCCTGCAGAGGTTAAAGGTCAGCTGTCTGACGACTATCTCAGCGCTATCTGTAAAGATAAACGGAGCCACTTCATTCGTCTGCTCTGAAAAAAAATCACAGCGGTGAAACCACAGAGACGTGAAAAGTCCTGCAGAAAACATGTAAGTTGTAGCACGGATCAGCGGTCGTGCACGGTCTACAACACCGAGCATCTTCATTTCTGCATCGTTTCAAACATTGTGACATTATAAGACACGGGTGTGAGTGGCGACTCCTCCACTCCAGCTTTAAACACATGTCATCCAACACATGGTCCTCGTCCATCGTAGAGTGAGTCGGTCACGCAGCGCGAGCGTTCTGAGCTCACCACTAATGTTAGTTTGTCCCTGAAAGCTGCCGCTGCTCCTTTGAGCAAAGCAACTGCAGCACTTCCTGTCTGCGCGCCTGCCCAGCTCTTCGCTCTGACTTCATATCTTCTTTGATTTGCGAGCTTCTTCTCAACCCTCCTCTTCAGGACTTGAGGCCGATGCGCTCCATCATCTGCTCGAACACGGTCCACGCCATGGCTGCCATCATGGTTCTCCTCAGGGAGCGAGGAACCGCGCCCCTGAAGAAGCCCTGGAGTCCACGCTCCTTAGAAGACAAGTGAGATGTGATTAAAGTGCTACTGACGGGATCACCCAAGAGCAGGAGGAGTGAGATAGTTACCGTATAGATGGATCGGATGGCTTCTGTGGTCCTCAGCTGTGGGTTCACTTGGACGTGTGTTTTGACGACGTCGGCGGGTTGTGTGATCAGAGAGGCCAGAACACCAGCCAGGATCCCACAGGTGAAGTTAGCCAGGGGGGCTGAAGGCGAGGCGCTGATCTCTTCAAAGAGGACAGAAGATTGTAGGTTAAGTACGTGAAGCCATTTGTCGTCCCTCACAGACGTTCGATGACGCACCTTGTGGCAGCGAGGCTTTGCTCTGGCTGTAAAACATGAGGTAGATCCCAGAGAAAGGAACGTCTCTGAGGAGAGTGGCCATCAGACCAGAGAACAGAGCCGCAGGACCTTCAGTCTGACACACGCTGCGCAGAGCCCCACACACGCTCACGTAGCGGTACCTGCCACACTGGAACAGGACGTGTGGGTCAGATAAAAACACACTGAGCTACCGCGCTAAACATCGAACACCGCAGAGTTAAAGACGACAGCACCACACTGCTGCTTCTCTTTAGTCTGCTGTACGCTCGCTGCAATCAAACTACTTTGTGCTGAATTAGCCATTCGTGCTACAATTTCTGGGTTTTGTAACTTTATACATTTTTTTAATATTTAAATTTACAAATATTTTTCCCCATAAAATTACATTTAGATATTTCAATGTGTTCTCTTTGAAATATGATTCAGCAAATTAGCTCCATTTTGTTTTTAGCTGCTATTTTAGCTTTTACCTAGCCTTCGGCTACATTTAGGCACACCTTCATTTTTTTTAGCCAATTCTTTTAGCTAACCATTCGCTACTTCTAGCTAACCTTTAAGTTTACATTTTGTTGTTTGATTCAGTGATAGCTTTTATAATTAGCCTCAAACTCGCAGTGTGCCGTTTCCTCAGCTGAAGCTGCACAAACGTTTTGTAGACATTGATTTTTGCACAATATAAACAGATTCAATAAGTTTTACTTGAAATTAACACCAGTATAACCTGCCTTTTAAGGGATAACAATTCATTATTTAGCAGCCGAATAACCCTCCAAGACAATTTTCATTAAAGATAGCTGGACTGAAATGCAGCTACAACTTAAAGAGCAATAATCACCTATAAATCAGCTGAAGCAAAAGGAAAACTGCTTACTTCAAAACGTGTCTTGATGACCGTGATTGGCAGCATCACGACCCCCGCCACCGTCCGAGCGCCCCCTCCCAGGAGCACAGCCTGCATGGCCCCCGGCCTGCGGTCCTGCAGGAAGTGCTGCTTCATGGAATGGTAGGTGCTGAAGTAGATCCCCACTCCTGGGATGGTCCGGACAAAAGACTAGAGGAGCAGATGGGGGGGGAGAGCACATTTTCACTCACATCCTGCCTCAGATGTGCCGATTTAGCAAAACGCTTTTCTCGGTAAAGCAGACTTCTTTGACAAGAGGGAGAATATATTGGTCTGTGTTTTAATTAGAGGCATGCCTACCGGGGAAACGCCTTTCCACAGTCCCAGTAGCCTCTCTGTCCGCACCACACTGAGGAGCACGGACACCATGCCCACTCTGCCTGAGCTGCAGAGGGAACAAAAATCAATCAGCAACAGACGGAAGGGATGAGCACGGCCTTCACGTGTGATACCGTCAGTCTGAGGTGATTATCAAAGTTTTAGGAGAAAACAGGTAAGAAAGTGTGCGGTGAAAACTAAAAGTAACGTGTGCATATACACAAACTCACCCGGGCTGCACGCCGCTCTGCAGCGTCTGCAGGCGGGTCTTGACCAGGTCCAGAGGTTGGAACAGCAGAGTGGAGCAAGTCCCACTGAGGGAGCCACACATGAAGGCTTTGATAGCTGGGTGAACCTGAGGGGGAACAGAAAGTGAAGGGTTTCTGTGGCGTTCCTACAACTGCCTGAAGACATTATGTCCCGCCAGAAAATCCGCACTGTCCAAATGTGACGAAACCTGATGTGTGGTGAACGAAGAGCATCCTGACACTCACCAGTAACATCTCCATAGTGTTTCCAGGTGATGACGACTAAACCACAAACTCTTGATTTTGTTTCTCTTCCTTCTCTGCAGTCCACTTAGTTTGAAGGATGACTAAACAGAGGAGCAGAAGGTCCAAGCGGTTTCTTCAGTGGTGGGGGGTTTGTAGAGAGCAGCTGAGGATCCACCGCAGACGATGAAGAGGAGGATGTGTGCTGAAGAGCTCTCTGCTGTCTGAAACACATACAGCTGATTAAATAAGGTCATCTGACCCAACACTGCCTTTCCCATTTGTGACCACGCAACACGCAGCTACTCATTAACTAACATCATGGCTGCACGCCCTTCTCATTAATAAATTAATGCACTTTATATGCTTGGCTGATCATGACTAAACTTTTAGTCCATTTTCTTTTCCTCCCAGTGGATGCATGCTAGGTTAAAACAGTTATAAAATAAATTATTAAACTAAATGTTTAGCAGCTTAACAGTCACAAAAGCAAGCGGTTAAGTAAATGCATTAAAGGGAACGTATTTTACGTCCTTAACAAATACAGAACAATTTTATATTATGCATTAAAAATGATCAAATTAAACCTTTTTACGATTGTGTTCAGTTTCATGCCTTCAAAAATTACCAAAGTTATGTTTGTAAAGATTGATAGTAGCTTTGTCATTGCTTGTTAGCAAAACTCTCCAACTTGTCAAAGTATAAACAAACCAGCTGATGAAAGCAGCTAGCTAGGAGCTGTAGATAAAAACGTAAAAAAAAAAATACCCGTCGGAATAAAGTTTTAGTGCGTTCACCTTCTTATCGCCTTTGATAGCCCGAGAATAGACGGACATAAATCTTAAACGCAACGAAAGTCCATTTCTGTGGCAGAATAAACTGGAACTATTATCAATGAGTTAGCTTAAAAAAACCAGCCAGTGCCGGATTGAGAGAGGCGGCCGCGTGTCTAGTTGTGATTAAGCCCCGCCCACTAAAAATCAAACTGACTTGTGATTGGATAAACGGCGCTGTGCCCGCGACGTCAACGTGACGTGCGGGAACGCGCCCAACGTAACGTAACCGAAGTTGGAGTGTCGCGTCGCTTCATTGTTACTTTTTTAGATTCTTGTATTTGAAGTGAAGTTGTAAATAAAGATATAAAATTTAAAAAAAATAAAGTATCGCGTCGCGTTTTATTTTTAGGTCAAAAACACGTTTAAAATGTTAGTTGCAATGTTAAAAAGTAAACATTATTCACCACTTTGAGAAAATGTGCTCCTTAATCTCTACTCACAATGCCAGAATCGATTTTTATTATCAGTTAGTTTCTTTAATTGTGTACACAGGGTCCCAGTTGCATACAATAAAATGTAAAACAGTAATAAGATCTAAGATATGAACTAAGACATTTTTTTTAACAAAAAAAATATGCCAAGCACTAATAGCATAAAAACAATGCGCCGAACTGCAGCACGAACATGAGTGTGTGAGCAGAGGAGCACGAATGAACACAGCAGCTTCAGGGTAGAAGCTGTTCCTCAGTCTAGTGGCTCTACGATTAATGCTCCTCCACCTCCTGCCTGAGGGGAGCAGGGCAAATAGCATGTGCTGGGTGGGTGGGGTCCTTCATGATGCAGGTGGCTCTCTTCCTGCATCTGGAGGTGTAGATGTCTGATGGTGGGGAGGCTGACTCAAACATTCTTCTGTGCAGCCTTCACCACTCTCTGCAAAGCTTTTCTT